ATTTTACAACTATTTTACATTATAATTATTTTTTATTTGCATGTATTTTTTACAAAGAAAAAACAATAAATTAAAGCTAAAAATTATGAAAAAATATGTCTTATCTATGTATATAAAATATTAAGTTTTTTCTTTTACTTACCACTTAAAAATAACTGCTATATTTGCTTATAAACTTTTTTGTCATTTTTAATAAAAGTGAATAGAAAAATGATGGAAAAGTGATGGGCAGTGATGGGAAAAAAGAAGTGGTTATTACTGTTATTTTTGAATATTGATTAAAAAAATTTTTTTTATTTTTTATTAAATCTGAGTTACGTAAATATGTAACATATATTTAATTTAGATTTGTGTAATGTTAATCTTACTAAAATATTAAATTTTTATAAAAATCTTAATTTAGACTAATTCCAAAAATCAGCACATATGCTTTTGTACGTTTACTAACAATCATACTAACATTTCTATTACTAATAATATTTTTTACTCACACTTTTTTTTAAATAATATCAATTTAAACAGATTAATGAAATGAAAATAAGCAGCAAATGAACGTTAATTGTAAATGCATTAACCCATATACAGTGTTAATTTTTCGACAAAAAGTTACTGTGCAGATGGCGCACAATTTATTGAGTCTTACTGTGCGGCAAAGTGATATGGCTATACTACTATAATAAGCACTGTAATACATATGCGCCCAATCATATAAGGATATTTCAAAATTTTATGTGCGCATGCCACACATCCTTTCTAAAAAAGGTGTGCGCAAAATTCTGATCATGTGCGCTGCGCACATACCGCACAGTGAAAAATAAACACTGCCCATGTATAATGGTGTATTATTAATCCCACCATGCGTACACGCATAATGGCACATTAATTTTATTATATTATGCTAACTTCACATTATTTCAATTGAGTTTATATAAAGAGTAATAATCTATTTTTTTGTTATTAATTAAAAATATAATAAACATTTTATAATTTTAACCTGAATTAAAATAAAATTATCAATTAATCTATAAATTATGATTGAATTTAAGTTATAAATTTACCAGTAATTATGAGCATTAATAATAATTTAACCTAAATTAATATAACTGAGGATCCCGCCTACTACTAAGATATGTTACTGGTAGAAATTTCACTTTCATATGAAACTTTACCTTAGGATTTGCTTAAATTCTATTGGTTAATTGATTAAAAAGGAAAAAAATCATAACAATGTAACATAAAATTTCCTTTTATAGTAGGATCTTCAAAGAGTTTTATATGTAAAACCTTACCTTAGGCCACAGGGTGACCTATCTTAATAGTAAGCAGGGTCCTTATAACTGCCAGGTATACTTCAGATACATATAGGATACATATTAGATAGTACTGATATGTATCCTATAAGTGTATAATATCTATTTGATATTTTTAAAAATATATCAGATATTCAATAAGTTGATGATATGTAACTGATATTTTACTACCCGATATATATGATAGTGTTTGGAATCATGTAACAGTTATTCGAATAACTCGAGTATATTCGAGTATTCGAATAAGTATAGTGGTTATTCGAGTATTCATTTAGCCAGATATAGTATAGTTAAAATTCTAATTGGGCATTAAATCCTTAAATTTAACTGAGTTAAAATCATAATTCAGGCTAAAAATTATGTAAATTATTACTATAAAAGGAAATTTAACTTATTCGAATATTATTCGAATATACTTTATAAATTTAAATGAATACTCAAGTATATTCAAATATATTCGATTCCAAACACTAATGTATGAAATATGTATATTATATGTATATTATATGTTACCGAATTCAGCATTTATACTACATATATCAGATACCCGATATGTGTAGTATTATTAAATATCATATACTTGTAGCTGAAACCTTTTCACATGATTTTCAGCCATGTTTTTAAATCAAAATTAAGTTAAAATATGATAAAAATCAATCTCTATATCCAGCTGAAACTATAATATAAAGTCTTTAGAGTTTCGAATAAATTTCTGGATAGTTTTTAATAATTTATTATAATTAAATTACTGAAAGTCCGAAACCTTATCCAGCTTTATAGAAGTTTTGGTTACATATATAAAATATCATACACATATCACAGGTCGAAAAGTGAAAAATCAGGCATCAATCAGTCACCAATCGGTCACCAATCAGGTATCTGTCACCAATCAGGTATCTGATTGGTGACCAATTGGTGCCTGATTGGCATTTTCGCCAAATACCGTCACCAATCAGGCAGTTTGCTAACTTTTGATCCAGTGATCAGAAAGGGATGAAATATAGCTCATTGGAATTGTCTCAACAAGACGAATCTAATGGTAGTAAAATCGCATTTCTAGGATTAATACTTGATGAGAAATTAAGTAAAATATAAAAATGAAAATGTATCATTTATATTTTATTTAATTTTTTATTAACTATCAATCCTAGAGATGCGATTTTACTACCATTAGATTCGTCTTGTTGAGACGATTCCAATGAGCTATATTTCATCTTTTTCTGATCACTAGATCAAAAGTTAGCAAACTGCCTGATTGGTGACGGTATTTGGCGAAAATGCCAATCAGGTACCAATCAGTCACCAATCAGTCACCAATCAGCTACCTGATTGGTGACCGATTGGTGCCTGATTTTTCACTTTTCGACCTGTGTATTTTACAGATATTTCACACATATCAGGTAGGACCCCGCTTATTCCTAATAAAGGTCTCCAGAAAAAATTTCAAATTTACTAGTAATTTTACCTTACTCTAATTCTTAATATTATTGGTTAATTGATTTAAAAGGAATAATGCAATGTAATATTTCCTTTTTTAGATATAATTTATCTATTTATAGTAAGATCATCAAAATTTTTTTCTTGGTAATTTTACCTTAGAGTTACAGTGACCTTTATTATAAGTAAGTAGAGTCCTTATCAGGTACCTGATTTGTACCTAATAGTATTGATTTTGATCAGTGTAATTATTTAAGACTAAGAAGTTTGATTTGTAACTTTTCTTTTTTAAAGATGATCTTTCTTTCCTGTCTACATTTATAAATACTCTAAAAGATTCATTAAAAAAACTCAAACTAAAAAAAAATAAAATAAAAGGAGTAAAACAAACAAAGTTAAGATAAAATTATAAATAAATTATAAATAAAAAAAAAGAAAAAATTAATATATTTTGGGTATAAATCAACTACTATAGTGTCCTATTTACTTTACCTGTAATTCTTCAAATTAGTGCAGTATTTTATATTAGTTTCCTAATTTTCTTAGTAAAAAACAAATTTCAGTTAAAAGTGTAAATAGAATTCTGTTTATTTATAAAATAGATCACCCTTAAGCTTAAGGTAAAAATCATATAAAATTCTTTGCAAATTCTACTATAAAAGGAAATTTTATGTAGAGTTCTAAATGGGTCAGGTCAGGTCAGGTTATATCAGATTATTTGTTTGACTTGACCTAAACTGAAACCTAAAAATTTTAAGGATTTTTATTAAAATATCAAAAAAAAAAATGGTGTAAAACATTTTTTTTTGAAAATATTGCAATTCACTTTTTATATATAAAATCAATATAAAAAAGTGAATCTCAATATTACAACTCACTTTTATTATATAAATTAATATAAAAAGTGAATTATAATACCATCACTTATATTAGTCTTATATTATATAAATTATAATTTCAGGTCAACAAGTTATTCAAGTTATATTGATGTTACAACCTAAACTGATACTGAATTGCAATTGCTAAACCTGACCTGATAAATTCAGGTCAACCTGTCAGGTTACCTGAATTTGGTCAACCTGTTCGGAACTTTAATTTTATGTTAAATTATTATGATTTTTTTCATTTTTAGCTAATTAACCAATAGAATTTAAGAAAAAAGTAAAGTAAAAATCATTAGTAAAGACCTAATTTATTTCTTTCTAGAAGATTTACTTTTCTGATTCTTATTACTCAAAATTTTTTTCTGCATAACTATAGGTTCTAAGTTTTAATTATACTTTTAATTAGAATATTTTTTTAGTAGTCTATTTTTAGATTGATTCAAAATAAATGCAAAGTAGTATTTCTATATACCTTTAAATTTTTTAAAATAAAATTTCATATTTATGCGTGACTTTATCCAAGTTAGTCCAAAAATTATAATGTTGAATACTTTTTATCTTGAATAATTTTGAAAACTTTACATCTATAGTTGATGAAAGTAATGATTAAAGTTGCCTGCCAAAATTATGAAGTTTCAGCATGTTGAAATTGTTGAAACTATTTCAACATTTCAACATTGGCTCTCTGATTTGTTGAAATGTCAAAATAGTTTCGACATGTCGAAATTGTTAAAACCTAAAAATATTACATTTCACGTAATAACTCGGTATCCAATGATCATAGAAAGATGCACCATATCTCATTGGAATTGTCTCATAACAATGAGTCAAATGGTAGTCAAGACGATTCCAACGAGCTATGGTGCATCTTTCTACGATCATTGGATGCTGAGTTATTAAGTAAAACGTCAAACAGCGTAGTATCACAAAATATAAAATACTGATTTTTGACGTTTCGTTCATCGGGAAATTTTTTGGGGTGCAGATCTGCGCAGATCTGCAGGTGATATTTTTGCGCAGATCTGCGACCTTGTCGGCAGTCTTTGGAAAAAAAATTCATCAAAAACTGTGCAGAATTTCAAGAAACAAAATTCTGCGAAAATTTTTAAAAAATAAATAATGAAATTCTGCGAAGATTATAAAAAAACAAATAACGAAATTCTGCGAAGATTTTTAAAAAATAAATATTTGAAATAATTCAAATATATTTAATTTCACTGATCATCACAATTATTACAAACAATTTTATATATAGTAATTTATTTAATATGTAATTTATTTAATAAAATATATTCAAAAAAAATTGAAGAATTTCAAATACAAATTTCCGAATTCTGAAAATTAATGTAATACGAAGAAATTCGACGAATGTTAAGAGAATTTCGAATCTAAACTCTTGAACTGTAAATTTTTTTGATTTAGATTAGTAAAATAAATTAACGTGGTGTAAAAATCATTATATACCAGATAATAACTTTGACTTACTAATTCTTCGTAACTACTACTATTACCATCATCAGCATCGCTCGATTCTTCGATCATAGACGAAATCTCTGGACTTTGTTCTGAATCTTCTTTCGCTGCTAACTCCTGCAACTAGTGCTCTACATGAGCTGGCTCGAGCCGAGCTACAGTCTGGCTTAGCTCGGCTTAAAAATCTGCGCTAAGCCAAGCTTGAAATGAGCCGAGCCACAAAAAATCTTGGCTCAGCTCAGTTCGAGCCAAGCTGAGCCATGAAAATCCTGGCTTGAGCCAAGCTGGGCTCGAGCTGGCTCGAGCTTTATCATAAAAACGTTTTCGCAACGTTTTTACTTTAAATTATTAAAAAAAACGTTGCAAAACGTTTTTTACTTTTATATTTATATAAAACGCCAAAACTATTTGTTTCGGCATTTTTCCTTTTGATTTTACATGTAAAAATGCTAAAACTGATAGTTTCAGCATTTTTTTTGATTTTACATGTAAAAACGCCAGAATAATTAGTTCCGGCATATTTTCTTTTGGTTTTACATGTAAAAACGCTGAAACTGATAGTTATGGCATTTTTTTTTGATTTTACATGTAAAAATGCCGAAACTGATAGTTTCAGCATTTTTTTTTTGATTTTACATGTAAAAGCGCCAGAATAATTGGTTCCGGCACATTTCCTTTTGGTTTTACATGTAAAAACGCCGAAACTGATAGTTTTGGTATTTTTTTTTGATTTTACATGTAAAAGCGCCAGAATAATTGGTTCTGGCGTATTTCTTTTTGGTTTTACATGTAAAAACGCCGAAACTGATAGTTTCGGCGTATTTCTTTTAATTTTACATGTAAAAACGCCGAAACTGATAGTTTCAGCGTATTTCTTTTAATTTTACATGTAAAAACGCCGAAACGGATAGTTTCGGCATTTTTTTTCGATTGTACATGTAAATAAAAATGCCGGAATAATTAGTTCCAGCATTTTTCTTTTTGATTTTACATGTAAAAACGCCGAAACTATTAGTTTTGGCATTTTTTTTCAATTTTACATGTAAAAACGCCGGAATTATTAGTTCCGGTGTTTTTTTACGATTTTACATGTAAAAATGCCGGAATTATCAGTTCTAGCGGTTTCTTTTTGATTTTACATGTAAAAATGCCGAAACTATTAGTTCCGGCATTTTTTTTTCAATTTTACATGTAAAAATGCCGGAATCATTAGTTCCGGCATTTTTTTTCAATTTTACATGTAAAAACGCTGAAACTATTAGTTCCGGCATTTTTTTTCAATTTTACATGTAAAAACGCCAGAATCATTAGTTCTGGCATTTTTTTTTTCAATTTTACATGTAAAAACTTAAATAAATGTTTTCGCAACGTTCTTTAATAAACAATAAAAAAAAGTTGCGAAAACGTTTCGTTTATGCATGCATTATTATATAAAAACGTTTCACAACATTTTTTGTATAATAGCTCGTTTGGCTTGTGAGCCAGCTTGAGCTTTTTGAGCCAAGTCTGTTACAGGCTTGAGCTTTTTGAGCTGAGCCTAATAACTGGCTCGAGCTCTTCCAAGCTGGCTCGTGAGCCACCAAGCCAATTTAATCATGGCTTGGCTTGGCTTAGCTTGAAAAGTTTGAGCCAGCTCATGAGCCAGCTTGGCTCGTGTAGAGCACTACCTGCAACAAACACGGAGTTACAGTAACTTTATTTTTGATCGATTGCTAATAATTGATTATACATTAATATTTGCGAAATATTTTAAAATTTTTAACGTCAAAGTACTGATGAACGTTATTATTACCATAAGAAAATCAACTCTCTTTAAAACTAACTTGTCGTTGCATTTAATCCCAGGGCTACTGGGATTTAAGACAATATCGCAGATGGCGAGTACATAAACCCAGTGTTCTGGAGGAAGCTCACTGCCTTCGTATGATTTGAAAACAAAAGAGGTTATTTTCGTGAGAATACCTTGATTTTCAAAAAGTTCTTGATATGCTTCTCGCGTTTTTGCACTTTTTTTCCATTCGGCAATCTTTTTAGAAGACGCACTGCTATCTACACGTTCTAACTTCTGCTCACTGAAGTTAGAAAACATAGTATTTCGAATATTTGCCGCTAAATCATTTCGCTTGCTTCGGCATTTGTTTTTTATCTTAATAATCAAATAATTTCAGAATATTATTATTATTATTATTATTATTGATTATTATTAATGATTTCACGTACTTCTGGTAATAACTTTAATTCGAATAGGGAAACCCACGTATTTTTTCTGAGATTTTCAATATAATGACTGGCATGTTCAGCGAGGTATTTCTCTAAAGCTTCACAGTACTCCGTATCTGAAGGAAATAGGATCTTCGGAATAAGTTCTTTGGACACCTTTTTATATGCGCGCTGTAAAGATAATCAGTTATTTTTAAATATCTTGAGATCAAATAAAGTTGCTAAATTTATTAAAGTAACTTACGTTCCAAAATTCATCTGAAAGCTCTTCGACCACCACAAGTCTCTGTATCATTTGAGAATCTAATCGTTGTTGCTCACTAATACGTCGGCACAATTTATATATTGAAGTGATTTTTTCGTCTAATAATTTCATATTATAGTTGAATTTCTCGATTGTAAGGTAACGTTCTTCACGTTCTTCGAAGTTACAATATTTGTCATCAATTTGCATAGGTGTTATAGGTGTAGAAGCTCTGATAGGTGTGGGTGCTTTGATAGGTGTGGAAGTTCTTCTGTTTGAATTATCATCGGGTTTAGTTGGAGAATTTTTAAGATTTCTTGTTGAATTATTACCAACAATGGGCGTTAATGATCTACCCCTATTTTTTTTTGGCTTGCCACTTTTTATACTTTTTGTAGGATTATTGGATGTTGAAGACTTGAGAATTTCATCTGTAATAACCAATACGAACGGTCCTTCGGTATTGGGTGTTGAAGTTAAAATATTATCGTAATCAGGGCCAGTACGAGTTTCAGTATAAGATGTTGAAGCTGAAGCATTATCATCAACATTTCCTGTATCTTGTGATGATACATCATCAGCTGTTGGTGTCGATTGAACAAGCAAAGATTAATTATAATATTAAATTAATGTAAGAAATGCAATTCCTTGACGGACTGTACCTGATAAAATTTGAGATAATATATTTCCAGTTTTTTGAGAAGCTTCATCTTTTTTTTCCGGACTATTATGGGAAACTTTCATTTTTTTTTTTGCATTTTTTCCAGTTTTTTTCTTAGTATTTTTCGTTGACATTATTAACAACTAATTTAGAAAATTGTATAGGAAAAAATATACTTGAAATTTACGAAACAATTTAAATAAAAAATTGATTACCGAAATCGATAAAAAAATCCAAAATC